ACACCCAGAACCTTCGCCTTGCTGCTGCTGCTGCTGCTGCTGCTGTTGCTCATGCTGCTTGTCGCCTTCCGGCGGAGATTCGAAAAGAAGGAGCTCTTCTTGCTGCCTAGAGTTTTGCTGCTGCTGCTGCTGCTGCTGCTGCTGCTGTTGTTCTGAGCAGCATCAGTAGAAGCAGGCTGCTGCTGCTGCTGCTGCAGCGCAGCAGCTGAGGCCTGACGATCTGTCTCTCCTGTCTCCTTTGTCTCTTGCCCGGGGACAGTCAGCAGCCCCTCTGCATCCTGCTGCTGCTGCTGCTGCTGCTCCTGCTGCTGCTGCTGCTGTAGCATCCGCTGCTGCTCCTCCTGCTGCTGCTGCTGTTGCATCCGCTGCTGCTCGTCCTGCTGTCGCTGCTCTGCCTCTTCCTTTTCCTGTTGCTGCAGCTGCTGTCGCAGCTGCAGCAGCTGCTGCTGCTCCCCCTGCCCCGTCAGCCCCTGCTGCTGCTGCTGCTGCTGCTGCTGATATATACGAGCAAGCAGCTGCTGTCTCTTCTCCTGTATCTTTTGCTGCTGCCCCCGCATCCACCACAAAGCGCAGCGGCGCCTGTGTCTCTCTGCGCTGCTGAGGGCAACGATAGGCAGCTCGACATCCAGCCACAACACTCTCCCGCTGCTGCTGCTGCTGCTGCTGCTGCTGCTGCTGCTGCTGGTGTTTGTTTGCTGCTGCTGCTGCTGCTCGAGATACGGCTGCAGCTGCAGCAGGGACAGCAGCACAGTGCGTGTGTGGGCGCGTGATGCTTCAACCTCTTCTTGCTGCTGCTGATGCTGCTGCCGCAGCAGCTCTTGCTGCAGCTGGTGCTGCAGCAGCAGCTGCTGCTCCTGCATGTCCATATAGTATGGGTGAATCTGTCTCATCTTTATCTGGTGCTCCTCATGCAGCTGCTGCTGCTTCTCTTCTTTTTCTTTCTTTTGCTGCTGCTGCTGCTGCCTCAGTCTCTCATGCGCAGCAGCAAGAGCCCGCACCAGCTCTGCGACGCGTTGTCCTCCCCCTAATCCTGCTGCTGCTGCTCCCGCTGCTGCTGCTGCTGCTGCTGCTGGCAGCTGCAGCAGCCCCTCCTGCTGCATTGCTAGAATATCAGCAAAAGCCTCAGCACTCCACGAGGCCCGGCAGCGGGGGGAGCCGAGGAATGCTTCTAGCCGCTGCAGCAGCTGCTGCTGCTGCTGCGCAGACACACAAACTGCCTGCTGCTGCTGCTGCTGCTGCTGCTGCTGCTGCTGCTGCTGTTGCTTTGCGGCTATAATATTTGCAGGAGTTTGTGCTGCCTGCTGCTGCTGCTGCTGCTGCTGCTGCTGCTCCTCTTGAATTCGTTGCTGCTGCTGCCCTGCAGGCAATGCTCCTTGCTGCAGCTGCTGCTGCTCTTGCTGCAGCTGCTGCTCTCTTTGCTGCGCCGCCTCTTCTTGCTGCAGCTGCTGCTCGTCCTGCTGTAGCTGCTGCTCCGCTTGCTGCAGTTGCTGCACCTGTTGCTGCAGTTGCTGCTCCTGCTGCTGCAGCAGCTGTTCCTGCTGCTGCTGGTTTGTCGCCTCCTGCTGCAGTTGCTGCTCCTCTTGCTGCAGTTGCTGCTCTTCTTGCTGCAGTTGCTGCACTTTTTCCTGCTGCTGCTGCTCGCCTTGCTGCAGCTGCTGCACTTGTTGCTGCAGCTGCTGCTCTACTTGCTGCTGCTGCTGTTCCTCTTGCTGCAGTTGCTGCTCTTCCTGCTGCAGTTGCTGCTCTTCTCCCGCCTTCTGCTGCTCCTTTTGCTGCAGCTGCTGTTCTTCTTGCTGCAGTTGCTGCTCTTGCTGCTGCAGCTGCTGCTCTTCCTGCTGTGCCTGCTGCCCCTGTTGCTGCAACTGCTGCACTTGCTGCTGCAGCTGCTGCTCTCCTTGCTGCAGCTGCTGCTCCTGTTGCTGCAACTGCTGCTCCTGTTGCAGCAGCTGCTGTTCCTCTTTCTGCAGCTGCTGCTCTTGTTGGTGGAGTTGCTGCTCTTCTTGCTGCAGCTGCTGCACTTGCTGCTGCAGCTGCTGCACCTCTTCTTGCTGTCTGTCTGCCTGCTGCTGCTGCTGCTCTTGCTGCTGCAGCTGCTGCTCTTCTCGCTGTACTTGCTGCTGCACCTGCTGCACTTGCTGCTGCTCTTGCTGCAGTTGCTGCACTTCCTGCTGAACTTGCTGCTCCACTTGCTGCAGTTGCTGCTGCTGCTGCTGCACTTGCTGCTGCTGTTGCTGCAGCTGCTGCTCTTCTTGCTGGGTGGACTCGAGGGCAGTTTTATCTTGCCCCATACCCTGCTGCTGCTGCGGCTGCTGCGGCTGCTGCGGCTGCTGCGGCGGCTGCTGCTGCTGCACTTGAGGCGCCTCGGGCTGCACTTGCTCCTGCTGCTGCGGCGGCTGCTGCTGCTGCTGCTGCTGCATCTGCTGCTGCTGCGCTTGCTGCTGCTGCTGTGTTTCCTGTGCAGCAGCCGTCATGCTGTTGCGCTGCGCATCCTCTTCTTGCCGCTGCTGCTGTTGCTGCTGCGGCGGCTGCTGCGGCTGCTGCGGCTGCTCCTGCTGTTGCTGTTGTTCGCGCTCAGGCTGCTGCTGCTGCTGCTGCTGCTGTACAGGCTGTTGCTGCTGCTGTTCAGGTTGCATCTTCTCAGCATGCGGCTGCTGCTGCCCCTCGGGTTGCTGCTGCGGCTGCTGCTGCGGCTGCTGCTGTGGCGGCTGCGGTGGCTGCTGCTGCGGCTGCTGCTGCGGCTGCTGCTGCGGCTGCTGCTGCTGGTTCAGCTGCTGCTGCTCTGGCTGCTGCTGCTGTTGCTGCGGCTGCTGCTGCTGTTGCTGTGGCTGCTGCTGCTGTTGCTGTGGCTGCTGCTGTGGCTGCTGCTGCGGCTGCTGCTGCTGTTGCTGCGGCTGCTGCTGCTGTTGCTGTGGCTGTTGCTGCGGCTGCTGCTGCGGCGGTTGCTGCGGCTGCTGCTGCTGCGGCTGCTGCGGCTGCTGCTGCTGCTGTTGCTGTTGCGGCTGCTGCTGTTGCTGCTGCGGCTGCTGCGGCTGCTGCTGCTGCGGCTGCTGCTGCTGCGGCTGCTGCTGCTGTTGTT